GTTCACTGACGAGCTGCGCAAAAAATCGCGCGAATATGAACGTGGTTTTGCGCAACTCGTTTGTGAACAACGGCTCTGTGTAGTTAATGCTGCTCAATGTGAAAGCCCGCAGGTGATGGAGATTTACCGCTGATTACAGAACCGGCTTCACTGATAAGATGCGCGTTAAATATCGCATGCGATTTATCATGCAGCCCTAATCCAGACCCATCCTTAACAAAAACCAGCCAACCAGAGCTGTTCTAAAGTCTGATGTATTTAGATCACAATTATACATTTCACAATATGAGGACCAAGTACAAATCCAGTCAAGCTACATTTGTAGCTATCTAATTTTTTTAAGAGAAGATTTCTCCATTAAGCCTTCTGTCTTAACAAAAATGTCCACACTAGGTTGGCACTCACCCTTGCGTCTCCATTGCTTGGCCGGGCTCCATGACTGAAGGCGTGCGCTGGATCTTTGTGGTACACTTTCAAGCAGGAGTGATCTGTGATGCTCCTGTGTTGGGAAAAATCCACATCAGTTGCATATACAGACCAAATGTCACCATCCGAACGGGGTCGGCCATGGTGCCTTGAAGGTCGGCCCCTCAGCTCTGCCACAACGGGGTGCACTAGGGCTGGCGAGATGTCAACACGTGAGAGCGGAGAGTGACAGCGAGAAAAGTCAAAGGAATCGCGAGAATGAAGCGATTCACTGAGAGACACAGGCGAGCTGGAGCGAGAAACTGGAAATTGAGGTGAGAAGCTACGGCTCTCCAAGACAAGATCCATGTCTGAGATGTCCGTTAATGTCCAGACTTCAATTCTCTGTAGGTCCAAGAATGATTTACTAATACAGCATCGAGCAAAAACATTAACTTTCTATAAGTAAACAAGCTTGTCTATTTATGTTTTTAAATCTCTGTCTACCAGGATCGCTCATAATGTGTTTGTGTGTGAAACCTAGTTGTGTAAAGTGACGTGAGCATTTTTCTTATGAAGTCTGATATGTGGTCATGTGGCTGTAATTCAGATTTACAGCCTTGATAGTAAAGGAGTCGTATCAAAGTGCAAGTTACATTACCATGGAAATGTAAGGAGAAGGTCTGCTCCTCTGTCTACACGGGACAATATGAGTATGAGTCAATATTGATAATTTCATCAGATCTGAGGAAACAAAGTCAATGATTAAATTTGGCTTTGATTGGTTGGGTCTTTAAAGACACCCTGAAATCGTTTGAGGGTCACATGATTCTTTCCTATATTGACGTATTTACTGAGCTGAAACTATGTTTTGGTGGGAGGAACTGAAGGGCTGATATGCTTTAGTTTTTATTTTCTTCAGAATTAATATTTTACTTGGCAAGGATGCATTATATTAAATGACAAATATAACAGTAAAGATATTTAAAATGTTACAAAAGATTTATATATAAAAAAAATGCTAAACTAGAAAATAAATCACTTTTTCAACATTGCTAATAATATAAATTTAGTTTCATACAGTGGCGGCTCGTCGGGGGAGGCACAGCTTCCGAAAAATATTGAGGTGAAAATGGGAGGAGGACGATTTAATGTTAATAAAATTCACAATTCATTTCAGTTCATGTCTCAAAATGTGTATTTTTTGTTTGTAATTTCACAGCTGTAATATTCATAACGTGTTTAAATAAAAGAGGCTACATTTAAAATGTTACATGATATATGCAGCTAAGAGAGACTTAATCTGGATATTGATTATTCCTGTGATTTTAATATATACAAATTTAGGGAAAACAGCCTAAGCTGGATATAGGCTACAGCAGTCGGGGCTTAATTAAATGGCGCAACAGGCAGCTCTCTTTTAACACAGACTTTTAAGAAGGGATGGACGTTTGCTTCAAGTTATAGGCCAGGTAAGTGAAATGATATGCTGTATGAGGTGTTTTCTGACTAAAAGCAACAAAAAAGTCATTTTAAAGTGGTTAAGCAAATAATAATATTAATCGGCAGGGATCCCCAGACCAATGCGTGTGCCTCCTCTATTTTAAAACCCACGAAACGCCACTGGTTTCATTCACAATTCGTTTCAGTTCATGTCTCAGAATGTGTATTTTGTTTGTAATTTCACAGCTGTAATAACATGTTACTGAAGTTGGAAAGCGCCACTTTTCTATGGCGAATGTGCCGAATCTGCTGATGTTTTACAACTGCTAGGTG